AAGCTTATCGAACAAATATTTTGGAAATTAAGTGAGAAGAAAGTGCCCAATGATCGAATCTATTGCAATATTCACGTATAAGTCCAATATTTTTAATTAAGTCCGAGTTCAGTGTCAGAGCTTTTCAACCAATTATCGACCGTACTCAGCTAATTACCAAACCATGCGCATGCAGTATCTCTTGCTAGCTGGAGCTAACTTTTATCTTATGAATGCCGAACAACTTACCAAGTCAAACGAGTCTATCAATGATCTTTCCTCTCGCTCAATCAACACAAGTGCAATGTCAACTCAATTAACTTACGACGAGAATGACTCACTCCAAAATGTCATTAAACCGACATCAATTATGGGTACTTTTTGTAATTTACTCTATTCTGTAGCAATTTGGGTCGATCTTGAACCTGGCAAGGTCTTTGACTTTCTTCATGCTGGAACAGTTAAAGGAGATTTAAGCCAAGCAACACGATTGATCATATGGCTTCAATATGTCGCAAAACTATTGAAGAAAAAAGGACTTGAACGGGTTCAAGAGACTGAAATTTATATTTTACTCAGTGAAACGTACACGGATGCACAACTTGCGACGCTTTTTGAAAGAGTTCAAAAGGATAGTTTGATGCATGATCTTGCAGAAAGGATGTTGGCGTTTATGCTTTCAAAGTTTACGAATAGTCAAGTGGGAGATGGAGCATGGCCAGATTCAAAAGACACGCCTAAGAAAATATTCAAGGAACTTCGTCTTGAAGATGCGAATCTTGTTGATAATATTTTATTTGCTGGCTGGATTCGATATGCTATTGCATACTATGAAAACGTGACTCCACACTATCCAGATTCGGTACTTCATCACGAAAGCATTTGTTACGAGATTTATAATTTCTTACGAGAGATGAAATCGATTGGAGAGTTGCCAAATATATTTGATCGACTACCATTTGCTCCAAACTTGGAACGTATTCATCAAGATTTGAAACGAGTGGCTCATTGGGAACTGGAGAAGAAATTTCAATTGCTGCAAAAAGATCCATTAACACCTCAGCAACTTTTCAAGGACAAAAAAGTCAAGATTGGTCTGAATCTTAATTTCTTGCAGTGGCTTCGATACTGTGATGCATACATGGTAAAGATGCAGAAACGCAATGATCAAAAGTGTCTCTGCAAGGTTGTTGGCTATCTCGCTACTATCAAGTCGTTTTAAAGTTGATTTCAATCAATTTGTATAGCCTAAAAGTTGAGAATACTTGGAAACAGCACGTACCAATGACAATTGAGACTTCAAAGCTTTTAAATGTCAATTAGTATCTTGCTTATGAGTGTTTCGAAGTATATAACTCATTCATAAGAGTAGATTTAGTTTTATAATCTAACAATTCGATCTAAACTCAAAAAGTCAAAATTGTCAATTAATCGAATTTGGACGTCACACAACCGTCAACTTGTGAGTTTGAAGATTGTGCAATTAAAAGCAACTTAATACTTTGTCGCAACTTGTTTTGCAATGCAACATATTGCAGCGTTTCAGCTTCTTCACCCTCTTTTTCTTTATCAATTATTCTTGTCGAATCTTTCAATACTTGCGGCTTCGTAGACTTTGGATACTTAAAGAATTGCGTCAAATTCGCGTAAATAACTTTTAAATTCTGCTGCAGTTCTTCTTGTACTACAGGTCGCAATATTCGTAAGCTCTTTTGAAGCGAATTGAGTACAAATAGCACATTCTGGAGCTAAATAGCACAATTAGAAATAAGACACTTAGGTACACTGACATAAAATCACATACCTTGGTTACAGAATCGAGATACGAATTACACAAGAGTGGAAAGAATTGAGTGGATTGAAAAGTGTCCCAAATTTTGATATTTAACCCATTTTGCAGTGGTATTTCATGTTGATGAAATGCAAATGCCACAAGAAATATTTCAGTCACAAAATAGTTTTGCATTATGGGAAGTAACTTGACAAATTTGGCAACACGACTTAAGTAGACGGCAATATCTGCGTACCACATGGTACATTCGCCTATAAGACGAAGAAAAGCAGAAACCCATGACGTGTTTCCATCCAAGTCGAAGTGATCGATTTCAGACGGTAAGAGCATGAGCAATGTACGGATCATGCCACTTGCATACAGTTTTTTGGTTATTGCACGCAAATTTGAAGTTGCAAGTAGCATTTCGTTCAATAGTTGCATTATGACAGTTGCCACTTGGTTTCTTTTCTCTGTCACGAATTTTTCATACTCAATTGTTGCACTTGATAACGACACAATATATTGCATCTCTTCCATAAATAGAGGCAAGACTTCTTCTATAACTTTTGATAGCTCTTGAGAAGCGCGTTGAGAACTCTGAAGTTGAAACTCTTGTGACTGTGCAAGCTCAAGCAGTACACGATAAACGAGATAGTGAGGCACATCCAAAAATTTGACATGTAAAAATATTGGTGATGCAATAAAGTGACAACTATGAAAATAATTGAGTAACTGTTGCAAATACCATAACGAGGTACGATTAGCATCAGGAGAATGTAACACTCGATCTCGTAAGATAAACAAATAGCGACTCCACTCGCCACTTGGACCGTAAAGAATGGATGTAATATTGTACGCACTCTCTTCTCTCGTCCAACCTGTACTCTCATCTTGAAAAGAATGAGTGCCTAAGAGTAACTTTATTATTGCAATAATTTCATCATCGAGATGCCACAATTTCCATTTTTCAATTGGTACATTGTCAAATGAGGACGAAAAGGTGCGGGAGGCAAGAAATTGCAACTTTGCCTCAAATGAAGTCTTGATAGTGTCATCTCCATTTTTCTTCATCCCTACATGATGTGTCATTGTATCATCTTGTAATGTTTGCAGCATTTGTTCGGGCTGTACGACCAGTGACAAGAGTTCGTCCACAATAACATGCTTTGGCTTTTCCAAACAAAAACGAAAAACTAGCAATAATATTGATGCAGCTAGTAACCCACTACTATTCGAACTGGACGACAATATATTATGATCGGACAAAGTTTGATCGTTCAAATATGTAACACCATCCAATAATGTAGCAGTAATTGAAAATTCGAACACAAGACCATTAAATTTGTCGCTCACTATGTGTCGGTAGATTTCTGCTAATGCTTCAATTGATGCATCATGAACTTGCGGAAAATCAAATTGAAGTTGATTGTATGCATCACGTGCCATTTCCATTCGATCGGTTGGGGATGGGGACAATAAATGCGACTGAAAGAGTCCAGTGAATTCTTGGAGTGTATTGTCACTTTCAGAGCTTGAATGACTGTCATGTTCAGCACTTGAGTTAGAGTGAAACAAAACATCATTTGACGTCACTTTCTTTTCCTGTAGTGCAGCCACAAGCTCTTGGATGAACAGCTCTCGATCTGTATTCATGTTCGTATAATGTAATACTTTAATTTATGTAAAATAAGTGGATTTGACTGGGTACGTCTGTACCCTGTCAATTGCATTAATGTCACTAATTGACAATAGGGTATCATGCAGACATGTGTATGACACACCATATTTTTAAATGAGATTTTAATCACTTCTTTGCAATTGTGCAAACTCATGAAGAAGACTAACTTTTGTAACGGAGAGGTCCGTGTGACGCATGGGCTGCTAGCTCTACGTCATGCACCGCATTTACTTTTATTTTTGAACATAGTAACATATACAGTAACAGTTATCGAAATGTATGTCAGTTTTGAGATTGAGTAGGAGCAAAAACGTGATAAGTTTCTTTAGAGGTCCGTGGTGGGACGTATTCTGTGCGCTGCTAGCGCGGACTCTTAAATCAAACTTCCGCTGTGTAAGTTGCACGGCAATCTCAATACCTTTGTAGCCTTTTTCGTCAATTTGACGACCAATTCTACCTAGACAGTATCCTCTTGGAGGATGAAGCACGAGTTGTTCAGTCAGCTTTCCCCCGGATAATAAAAAGCTCATGTCTATCATTAATCCGGGCGGGATAAAGTAGGACTGAAAATGTTAAATGCTTGCCTGTAGGAGTTCATCAGCTACGAGTATGCGCTGGTTAGACATCTTCAAATATTTCCCTGTCGAGCATCAGTGATAGAACCAGCAGATCTTACCGCCAGGTCGCTGGTATCAAGCGTCAAAACTTTTGGGGTTCATGATGTAGAGAATAATCTCTCTAGACGATAAAAGCTGATATGGCATTGGAATCGGCCGTGCCCCAATTGAAGATAAAACGTGTCGCCCTTACAACCCTTAAGCGAGGGGGTCACGCGTAAATATAGACACCTACGTGCAATGACTCGGGGAAAGAGGCACTTCAAACATGGAAAACTTCAAGACAACAGGTGTTGTGAATGTTCACACAGCTTAATGAGGTGTATCGGGTGCGTCCAAAGTCGTTGACCACCCGTGAAGGGAAGCAGAACTGACGAACTATGGGTAGGAATTAAGCACTCATATCACCGCAATGTCATCTGATACTCTTTCGAAGGCGGTCATGGTTAATATCTTCACAAGTCCCAGGTAAGGATCGACTCACACCGAGACCTTTCGCGCCCATCCAATCTCTTTTGATGAGAAGGTGGGCGTGGCATTAAATGCACAATAAACTTTTGTGCCAGAAGGACCGAATAATATACTGGGGATAGTAGTTTTACGAGTGCGCCAGAGAAGATGGGCTCGGTCATGCTGTAGACGAAATAAGAGATATTCTCTTCAAGATCTCTTAGCTGCCGAGCAGATCCGCGGTATCTGTATATGTTCTATGTGCGGCATAGAGAACATGGTGCGCCCACTTCGCTCTAGGACGAATACAAAGGATCAAACTTTCACGCAAGATACCCGACAAAAACCTCGCAGGGAGAAACAAGACACAGGGTGGTCTTTGGGAGAGAACTAGACCCTTTTGTATCTCGTGGAGGTCATGGTCAGGCCAGCCCTCGAAGGTTTAATTTAATCTTAGAGAGGTGCGACCCAGGATCGGCAGATATTGATATCCGTATCCTGGGTACTGTGAAGCCGTGAAAACGCCTGACAGGCTCAGGTGCATTGGCCAACAACGTTTGTCGCATGTCTCTTGAATACAGTATGATGCATTGCGGATGCTGAATTCAAATCGTCATATGTGCGTTTCGCGAACGGATGCTAAAAGTTATCGAATGTGATGTGTCGAGTGAAGTTATTAAGCTTTGACGATGTGAATGCTCTCTATCCCTAGATCTGGATTCAAGATACGAGACTCGTTTAGCTATGGCGTGGCTGGAGCGCCAAAAGCCATGGATCGCATAAAAGCTTATAAAATTTAGGCGCCATGAACTTTTGTCCTGGTGAAGCATTGGCGAGTCATGAGCCCATCTCTACTAAATTCTGTGCAGAACATGTGATTACCCGAAATGGATAGCAATGTTATCATCTGGTGCATTGGGCAACGATCAGAAGGCAGAAGTGGCAGTGATATTTGGTCTGAAGATGATACAGAAACAATTATGGTCGTCAAACTGAATCTCGTTTGGTGTTGTTTTAGAATGTATCTTTGGTGGAAGGGTAAAAATACTATTGAGAAATTATATCCAGCGTCAAGGGTGGAAACGACTGGTGTCGTGTCGCTTGTGCTAAGGCCGGTGAAGTTGAAGAGAACTATTCGACGCGAGTGAAAGGACCAGGCTATGAATATATGCATAATGTTTTATCCTTGTCAAGATGGGACGGTACTGCTAAAGCAGCGCTCCCGTGTGATGGATCCACTATGCAGAACAGTCAGAATTCACGGGCAAATGGCAAAAAATGTTCACGTGTAAGTGGAGTGATCGCAGTACTCTTAGGGATTTCACAAAGTATTTTTAGTACAATCTCTTATCTTACTAGAAAATTTGTTCTTTACGGAAAATGCCAGGCGGTGAGGTCGCAAAAGTGGTAAAAGTGGTACCGGATGATGATTTGGGCTCGTCATCCCTAAGAGATGAATCAGGTCCCTCGCAAAGCACGAGTACGAGGAGTGGGACAGCTATCTTCGAAAATTTAATGCTCCTTCTATCCATTTTTAAGGAAATATCACAGCGTGTTATCTCTTGATAGGAGACTGCGTCATGAAATTGTCTTGGCTTTCAAGATTACAATTGCGTCACACGGTAACGGTCCTTACAATTTGACGCCATTGAAACTTTCTGCAATGAAAGACATGAAGCGGGTTTGATGAGAGTAAAAAAAGTTTCTTTCCACAGTCGGCGCCGACCTTCTGTATCAGAAAGTTTAACGGCATGTGGCGAAACGCATATTTATAAAGTGAGATGAACGCAACTAATTTCGTCGCATATGTTGATTCCTAAATATATGTGCTATAGAAGAGCAAGGTCGAATACCAGTGCCATCAGCGTGTAATCACTTGGTTTCGAAAGGAAGCAATATCCTTCTGACGCCTCCCACATAGAGACAAGGGTCGCTTCTTGACGGTGTCAAAGATACGCGGGGGTTCACATTACCATTTAGGGAAAATAAGGTGAGGCCGACGCATCTGCTACTTTTCTCTACTTATGTCCAATGAGCGTAAGCAACTCACTCAAGTATCAAGGTTTCTAAGCGCAAGCCTCTCTTCTCCTTTCCTCTCTTCTCTGAGTAATCGGAGCAATGAATCTCTGGAATCGGCTGGCTTATAATGCCCAAAGGGCTGTCGCAAGAGCATGCGACCTTTGACTGTCCAACCAGGATTCACCAACTCGTCTTAGCGATATGTTTGGCTCGAGCACCTATTAATGCTTGACATTCTTTAGTACAGATCACGACGTGAATTTCAAGAAATGAAGACATTATGCTGTTGCTGATACTAGCCCCACTCACCTCCACAAAACAGCTGTAACAGCTATCGACCGTTGGTCCCATTTACCACTTGATCTGTCTACTAGCATTTGTTGGAAACGTGCTGCGACGGGCGACACTGCCTTTTCTTAAAATAAAAGTCGAGAATACCGCCGAGCTATAAGCTGTCACGGTACCAGAGAATTTCCTGCCGAAATGGAACTTTGAAATCCAGAAAGAAAGAAACTTCTACTTCGCCAGGATAATAACCATTCTGACGTATTCGCCGGCCCACCATTCATCCACGCCGAATAGATATATTAAAAAACATAGCATAATAGTGGGTTGCCCTTTGCTTATCGAGTAGTGCCGACAGAGGTTAATCCTCCCGCGTATAACTTTCGTGGGCTATATCACTTGTGGTCGCACCTCGACTCTTTCCGGGAGTCGTGGCATGCATTCAAGGTCGAGATGATCCAGTTCTCGATTTTGTTCTCCAAGCCTCATCACTGCCTAACCTAGTGGTTCCGAGCCGCGTCGCTGCTTTGAAGCATATAGCAGCTCAGTTATCGGGTATGATATAGACACCTCTTTGTCTGTTACAGATGAATATTCACGTCTGACTGGCTCGTAGAGCGGGATCGTGATATAGCTTCAGTAAGCCACATGGAAAACCGGGTGTGATTGCGTTCGCTTTGAAATATCCAGAGTAGAGCTCTTATCTTTTTTTTGCTATGACCATGAACGGTCTGATGTAGCGCGACCACAATTAAGGTGTATTAACTGCAGGCACGGCATGGCGTATTGCGTTAAAAAGCTTCGCTATACGGCATAATTGTATGCATTTCACCTGATTTTGGCAGTGGCTTGGTGCATTTGTCTGTCTCAGCCCTCACCATAGCACACGAAGCTCAATCTCATCTCGTGAAGATATAATCACGGATATTGCACGAGGTAGGCTGGGATGATATCACCGAGTTGCTATATATCAACATAATCCGATACTATTCTCAACAACACGACTAACGCGTTTCGTCTAATTATCTGTTTGAGGATGGGCTACTGTCGACATTTTTGATGCTGGCGCCAAACACTATAAATATTGTTTGCCTTAATCTACCTGTAAAGCGCAATCGTCTATTCGATACAATGACCACCGGCAATTCATCTTGGCAAAACGAATCGTCAAAGAGCAGCTTGGATGTATACATCATTGCTGACAGCAGCGCAATGAGACATCTTGCTCAGACGGTCCACAAAGACCACGATACCGATATGACCGTATGCAATTTTAGAAAGACCAAAAATGTTATATGCCAGCACTCTACTGGGATCGGCAGACTGCCCACAGGTACCGCTGTATGCGGCGAGGGAATTATCCGCTGACACACACTTTACACTTGCGCCCATAGGTGTTGACCTATTCAAGCAATACGTAGCGCATACCGAGCAGTTTGTCTTTCTTTCAACGTGACCATATCATGTGCCTCGTACAGTGTTCTATTATTGAGATCATCGTCGTGAAAACCACTACACGGCGAGTGCCATGTGGTTCAGCGCTAAAATACAGCAACTGTTGGAATAAGGTACAGCGATGCAGGCATGCAACCGCATGCTTAAATAGTCAGAAGTGCGATCTGTTAGATGACTTTCTTACCAAAGCTTTCAATTGAGCAACACATGTTGCGTCTGACCCGTACGCCAAACGTATCAACTCAAAAACTGTCGTGACCACTGTGACAGGTGATGATTCATAGTCGGGGCGACGTGAAGCGCATCATCAACCACATAATGCCGACCTAGTGTATATCATCTCTAAAAATATACTCGGCAAAAAAGGATAAATATCTTACCGTTCTCTGTAAGTAACGTGGAGACGACATCGCTGTGCGCAACAACGCATGTTAGACCGAGAATCGGGGAATGCATGAAAGTTTTACAGTCATAAGGGTGCCTCTTCCGCCGCACTCCACAACCATTTGTCATATTTTCCAAAAGATTTGTGAGGGGCCTTGCTTTGTCGATGCAATAATCTCTATACTTTTGCAAGTTGCCGACTAGGCCAAACCACTACATCCATTTTTTAAGCACTAGGTAATTTACAAGAGCCTCTCAATATATTTGCGGGAATCGCCCGCGGATCCTGCCAGCCAACGAAGTTGCCGTACAGGGAATTTTGCCTGCGCCAAAGGCACACTTGTCCGTATTAGCAAGTAGTTTATTTTCAGCGTATACACTCGAACGCTGCTAGCAAGTGTTCAAGTGGATTATCGCATCAATTTTCGTAATCTGCCCGACTATGGACAACTTCAGCGTCGAAATTGGTTTGTGCATAGCCATGATGTGGCTTGAGAAGCTGTGTCACCTAACTATTGAAAGTCGCTGGTACATTAGACAGTGCCTATGGCGAAGTCAACCATTCCAGCAAAATCTCGCTCGAATTACTCATCACAGTAAACGAAACGACGCTTTATCTTATAATCAGTCGATAATATTCATCATTTAGGTCAAGAGCATCCAATATTGTGGTGCTGAACATGATGTTCAGCGGCTTGTCTAGAATCGGCGTTTGCACCGGAGATGCGGCTGGATATATATACCATAAGCATGTACTCGCTGGTGCCCCCAGGAATTTGCGTGGCACATACATCTTCGTTTTCCAATCGACCCATGAGGTTCTGGCGTTCCAACAATTCCATACTTAAAAGAAATTTGTATTTCGACTCTAGGTCAGGACCAGACAATATTTCACGCTGTCCGAAATTCTTTGAACTTGAAGGTTCATCATAACCTTTGACACTTTTGCCAGTTTCCATGTCACAGGACACACGCATATCAACCCCGTGCATCTATAAACTCACGCGTCAATCGACTGTTCTCGACAGACGCGTGACCCAAACAATTACACGACACTCTAAAATCGATCATTTTTTTTTTTATGGCTCCACAAAGCTCGGGATGTCGCTATCAACAACCAACAACTCTGAATTGTGAGCCCTCCCTCCCTTTTAAAGGAAGGTGTTTCTTTGAGGCTGGTTCTCATTGACTACGACATCCACAAGGCACAACAGAGCCCAGTTCTCCCGTCAAAGGAAACCTCGCGCCTACTGGGACTAGACGTGCTCCCCAGTCGGACGACCTTGCTTGAGAGCATTAGCCGTTGAACCCTGCGTAGGGGTATGCAGATGTTGCGTACTGCCGAAGATGAAAATTTCGCGGGTACCGCAGAGCTTATTATCAGCTGAGATATCTTCTTTAGCCTGACGGGTTGCATCGTCTCTGGCGTGCTGATCGAGGTAACATTCCAAGCAACCCATCCCGCCATCGCGATACGGAAGTCGTACCCCACTTTATATGCGACATTCACCACTCCCTCGAAAAAATAAATTTGACATGAAAGGTCTCGCTGCGAGACGCACCCTTCGGAGAACCTCCACGAGATGGTGACCGTTTCTACTACCAGGAGAGCGTTAGGTGCCATTGCGGCGAACAAGATTCGCTATTATGCGCCTGGTCGACAAGAACTTCCAACATAGAGTGCAAACATCTGTGACATCTGTCGTTTTAAATCCTTCCACGGCTTTTACCAACGTATTGCACGTAAGCGCTCATTGTCGCGCGTGACGCGTAGCGAATCAGTTTCCCGTCTCAGCTCAGATAGATACTTTCCCTGTGGCTTGGGTGCTCAACAACAGAAGCCTCACGGTGGATAGGACCTGGTTTCCCGCCAGCGCCTTGTGTGCCGAGTTCGTGCGCTTTCACAAATAGCGGAAACGAGAGCCTTCATTATTTATTTACACTATCAATCCACTCTGCTCTTTCAAGAGTATATATGCTAAACTAGTGTTACTATTCTCATTACAACCTGCTTTTTTTAATATTCAGCTTAGCAGCTCAAGTCCAGGTGTTTGCTCTCTTTAAGTCCGAAAGATAACATAAAATGGTAGCATATTAAAAAAAAATTAGTAGGTTACATTATTAAGATGAAAGTATTATCTGGATAGAGTATAATGCTATTGTCAAACAGTGGGTACTATTCCCTTCATAAAATTTAGTACTTAAAAAAGCTCAGTCGTTCCTGCATCACAATCATGACCGACACCGACATGCCGCCGGTCGTGGAGACAGCAGATGTGCCGCCTAATCACACACTTTATCTAAACAACCTGAATGACAAAATCAAAGCAGACCGCATGAAAGCAACGCTTTACGCTACACTGTCACAGCACGGGAAGATTCTTGAGATTGTCATGGGCCACGCACGGCGACTTCGTGGCCAAGCTTGGGTCACATTTGATGACATACCAAGCGCTTCAAATGCTGTGCGGGCAGTAAATGGTACAATCCTATTTGAAAAGCCCGTTGTGATTCATTTTGCGAAGGAGAAGGCCGACGTCATTGCTCGCCGCGAAGGTACGTTCGTCCCGCGCGAGAAGAGAAAGCGGGAGCCTAAGGCTGCTCCACAACAGCAAGCAACAAAGAAAAAGACAAACGAGGGTGGCAATGCAGGTACAAAAGGATTGACTCAGCCACGTATGACTCAGAATGTACCAAACAAGATCTTGTTTCTGGAAGAGCTCCCCGAGTCGTGTAACCGTGACATGCTCGGAGTACTATTTAAACAGTATCAAGGTTTTAAGGTCTGGTTATGAATATGTGTTTGCTTGGCATTAACATAGTAAACTGACGAATACGTGGATAATTGTAGGAAGTACGCATGGTACCAGGCAAGAAAGGTCTAGCATTTGTAGAGTTTGGTGACGAAGCGCAAGCAGCCATTGCGTTGCAAGGACTCTTTGGATTCAAACTCACGCCTACAGACGCTCTGAGAGTCTCATTTGCTAAGAAGTAGATGACATCTTGTTCATGTCAGCAGTAGACGTCATTTAGTACAATTCAAAAATAGTAATGACAAGCATGGGCTTTCTTTTATTATGATATAAGACAATGAGATTGTATTAATTTGTTGGATCCTTCAAATTGTCCCTTTGTTTAAAAAAATCACTCGTCCTAAAACTTCTTCCTCTTCCCTATGACAACTCCCACGACTGGCCTCGAGGCACGCGACATGGTGTTAGCCAAAAATACACCCGAGCAGCTTGCTGAACATCAACGTGTAACCCAAGGAAAGGTGCGCACGCGCTTTCCTCCTGAGCCCAATGGATATCTGCACGTGGGCCACGCCAAGTCCATGCATATGAATTTTTTTGAAGCATTTGAGAAATTGGGCATTCCTTTGGACAAACGCGAGACATATTTTCGGTATGATGATACGAATCCAGAGGCAGAAAGTAATGAATATATTGAGGCAATTGCCAATAATGTACATTGGTTGGGGTACACACCGTCGAAGGTTACGTATAGTAGTCAATATTTTGACGAGCTATACGAATTGGCATTACAACTTATCCGGAAAGGAAAAGCGTATGTATGTCATCAAAGTAAACGTGAAATTGAAGCATCTCGCCTTGCGTTGCAGCAATTCCATGCGTCACCTGGTGCTAAAGACGAGAATGATGTTCCAACCAATGCGAAATCTCCTTTTCGTTTACGTTCCGTGGCTGAAAATTTAATTGAATTTGAAAAGATGCGTCTTGGTCTGTATAATGAGGGAGAAGCTTGTTTACGAATGAAAATGGATCTTGGAAGCCCAAATCCAAATATGTGGGATCATGTAGCGTATCGTATCAAGTATGTACCCCATCCACATCTTGGAAATAAATGGTGTATATATCCAACGTATGATTATACGCATTGTATTGTGGATGCATTAGAACATATTGATTATTCAATATGTACATTGGAATTTGAAACACGTCGAGAATCATATTATTGGCTTTTACATGAATTAAAATTGTATAAACCCAATGTATACGAATTTGCGCGATTATCCATGACGTATACTGTATTAAGTAAACGTAAACTTTTGCAACTTGTGATGTCCAAAACTGTACGTGGATGGGATGATCCACGAATGGGCACATTAAATGGGCTTCGTCGTCGTGGGTTTACACCCCAAATTCTTAACCAATTTTGTAAAGAAATTGGAGTAACGCGTGTTCAATCAACAATTCAAATTGAACGATTGTATTCAGTAGCTCGTAATATTCTTGGAGAATCTTCGAAACGTGTGATGGCTGTATTGGATCCAATTGAACTAGTGATTGAGAATTTTCATGAAGTACAAGACAAGAAAATATTATTGTTACGTGTACCCGATTATCCGCAAGATATGGAACGTAACAATGGCAAATCGTATCATCATGTTGAATTGACGCAAAGTTTGTACCTTGATCGTAGTGATGTACGTACAGAAGATTTGCCCGACTTTTATGGTGTTGCAATTAAGAAACAAGTGCGACTGAAATACGCATTTCCATTTACCTGTACGAAATTAGAAACGGATGATAATGGCAATGTGACAAAAATATGTGGACAAATGGACTGGACTAATTCATCCAAGCCAAAAGGTGTTCTCTCTTGGGTACCAAAAAATAGTCCAAAGCTTGAAGTACGCGTGTACTCGCACCTATTTACAGTACCAGAGCTACCGAATGATGTGGAAAATTGGGAATCGTTTGTAGATTCTAAAAATTCGGAACGTGTGTACCCTTTTGCACGTGTGGATCCTGAGTCGTACGATAATCATTTGAATACAATTGTTCAATTTGAACGAATTGGGTACTTTGTCATCGATCAAGATTCGACAAAAGAGAAAAAAGTGATGAATCAAATTGTTGCATTGCGAGAGAGTGGTGGTGAAGTGGCAAGTGGTGTATCAAATGCAGGTGCAAATGCCAGTCGCAAAGATGTTCAAATGCAACAATTGGCACTTAAAATGACAAAAATGAAAATGTCACCTAGTGAAATGTTTCGAAATCAACCAAAATTGTACTCACAATTTGATACTGACGGGTTACCAACTCACGATGGTGTTGGTACAGAATTGACGAAGAATCAGCGGAAAAAGCTCAAGAAAGAACAAGATAAGCAAAAAAAACTGTACGAGACTTTTTTGTCGACTCAAAAGGATAATCAGTGATGTAAGTGGGTACATTACCGGTATTTTTATAGAAGTCGGTAATCGTAACTTTACACTCGGTATATTCTAAGTGAGAGACGTAAATAGAATGAGATCAAAAATTTAAGTCACTCATTATTCGTATTTCAAATGAACTCTGATTAAGTCCAAGGTCGAAGGTTCTAATTCTAAAGTCGCATATGGTCATGGTGGCGGCCGATGCTTCTGTTCCCGCCTCGACGCTGTGTATAGAGAAGCTCAATGCTCACAATCCGAACGTAATCACAACATGGCAGGATCGTACCCCCGAGATTCTCAAACCAGAAGAAGTGTATCCTTTACCATGGTTTCTTAGTCCTGAATGGACTAAACGGTCGTCACCTACTGAAACGACAAGACTTTGTCATCCTAGTACAAGGAATGAACCTCATTCATTATGTTCATCAATATTCAAGTGTTGTTTTAACTCATCAACATCAAATGGAAGTTCTGAGTGTGAAATGGAACTTGGAAACTTTCAGCAAAGACAAGCACATTCCATTGAAGCAGAGGATGAAGCTGGAAGTTTGAAACAATGTCTTCAATTTCTTATGGGACTTCTTGTGATTATGGCAATGGCACTTTTACTTTTAATTATCTTTCAACCTCAGTCGAAATGACAGTCATGGACTGCATGGTTTACTATGTTCTTCATCAAGTAGTGAGAGTTTAAAGCTATCAAGTGATTTATTAAAATTTTAAGATGGTAAATTATTTGGCATTTGGTTAAATTTCTTAATTAGATTAACTTTTAATACATTTCTAAAATCAACGGCCAGCAAAGAATGGCAGCGATAATCAAGAGCGCGATGCAGCAAAGTCTACGCTCACGACTCTTTCATACAAGTGCACGTGCTTTATGTAACATCTCGACATCTTCATCCTCATCTGTGTTTCTAATGGCGACACGATTAAATTCCATGAGTCTGTTACGAATCGCATCGTTATCTTCTCCTTTTCTAACATTTCCATTTCTTCTTTTTTCACAGATCCTTCAATTCAAAATCCACTTGTAATGAATCGTTTGGAGATAACTGACTATTTACCACAAGTAAATGAACTTGAATGTCCTGGCGAGAGTCTTAATGGTAATGTCAGTAACTTCTTCATGCTACTCATGTCATTTCTTAAAGTTTCTGTGATTTCTATAACAATTTAGAATCATTTCAAGTCATTAAACGTACGTATCAACCAAGTGTATTGCGTCGTAAACGTAAACATGGTTTTCGTACGCGTCGTGTTTCCATTTCCGGTCGTAAAGTTTTAAAACGTCGGTTTAACAAACGTCGATGGCGTATGTCTCTCTAACTGTCTGAAGCGTTTACGAGAATATCAAGGTTTCAAACGACTAGAAATACGTTTCTTTTTGTTTTTAAAAAAATCAAGAAACAGATTACACGTAACCTTTTGACTTTAAGTTGTCGAGTGTAACACTTGACCCATATACTTTTCTAATGTTGGTGAAAAAACTTCATAGATAAAAGTCACAGGACGTCCACCTTTCCAGAACAAATAGGAACGACCCCAGAATGGACCAGAAGCTTCAAAAGCATTTTCCAGTTCCTTTGAATGACCACAAAAGACCGTTTTCATCTCACGAAAAAGCTCCGTCTTATGTTGAAGAATATTCTTGCCAATTGGAATGTTTGTATCTTTAAAAACTGCTTTCACATCGTTAGAATTCACCCATGATACAGCATATCCAAGACGTTCGCCACGAGTATTACGTAAGAAAACTTGACGTCGACAACGTGGTGGCACAATAGCTTCGATTTCATTTGGTGCATTGTCATGACTTGAACCAACAGATAACATTCCCAATACATCAACTTCAGTAGGTGATCCTGTGAGTATTCCTAAGTGATGAGTTGGTGAACCATTACCATATAGAAATAATCGCCAAGCTGGATTCATATCTGGATGGCCAAACTAGATATAATGATTAGATAAAAATGGATGTTTTAAATTTAAACTTTAGTCGTACCAACATAGTCTCAGAAGAAGCTTGAAAGATTACAAGAATCTTATACCATTCTGGAGTATCAGTCTCGAGAATTAAACGTGAGCGATCAAACGGTAAGAATGTCGTCGTTGCTGTTGTCTTACACTCCATTGGAGATTCGAAGATTGCCATTCGATTCGATATCCTGTTATAAAGCATATTAGAAAGTTTTGGAAATATAACCGTTTCTAATTTGAAATATTTCAACTTGATTTTTATGTACTGTACGACTAGAAAATCGCAAGAATGTTGTACAAGTTCAGTAGTGACCCCCACCCCGCACTCTCTTTCCGTTTCACTTCAGAACGTTTCCCTTTCCAGTCGCCTGTCCTCCCAAATTTGTACGACCAAAGTCTATCACTCGTCATTTGGACGCATAAGTTTTTCTTCAAACGTCAAGATGTCAGGACGTCCTAGTAATTTAGGACGTAGTTCATTTACAGGAGGTCGAAGCTCAGAAGTGGAACGAATTATTGCTGCAGCTGATGTTGATACAACATTTGCAGGTAAAAAAGCACGTTATCGTGGTCGTCATGCGGTATGTCATGTCTTTCTTTTCTCGTTTTTAATCTATTCACATCTTTTCTTTCTTTTTAGACTTGGCCTGGTGCTTTAGCTTTATTACTTCTTGCATTCATTTCAATTTTTGGTCTCACTTATTATGGAATACAAGTACATGATAATGTCAATGAAACAGTTGCAAGTAGTGAAGCTGCCGAAGAATCACGATACACAGATGGTACACAAATTCGAGATGGTAGTCCAAGTGATACGACATCAGAACTTGCCATTACGAATCCTAAAATGTATCTCGATCGCAAATGTGAACAACCTAATTATATCAGTAAAAATGGACGTATTTTTGCTCAATTTTCGGATCAAAGTACGACCCAAATTGATATTAAAGGCATCAATTGGAAAGGAATGGAAGATTCAAAAGGTGTGCCAAAAGGATTATGGGATAATACTGTTGATGGTGATTCACTTTATCGATTTGGGTACTTTTTACATTACAACAAATTTAATGTTGTACGTTTTCCACTTTCGATTGATTCTGTAATGCGAAATACAGAAATTGATATGAATTTGATCAATTCCAATTCAAATCGTGCATTAGGTACAGCATCAAGATATAATACACTTCTTGGTTTATTAGTTCAAGGACTTGGACAATTTAATATTGGCGTTGTACTTGATTTTCATGTGCTTTCTGCAACGGATGATGATGGATCTGGTCTATGGTATGGATCATCAATTAAATTAAATGATATTAAAACAGCAATTACGAATTTGGCAGAAGAAATGTGTGATTCTACTCATTTTAATATTATTGGAATTGATTTGAAAGATGGTTTGAAGTCCGATGCAACATGGGGAGATGGAGCTGATACAGATTGGTCGATTGCGGCAACAGAATTAGCAAATCACATGTTGAATAAATGTCCGAAATGGTTAGCTTTCATCCAAGGTGTGCAGGGTGAAAGTCATAAAGATATGTATGGTGAACGTTCACTTAAGAATACTTTCTTACCTGGATCGGATCTATCTGGTATCACTTTGAATCCAATTAAACTTAAAAAAGAGAACAAAATTGTATATGCACCGAAATTCTTCTCAAGCTCCGAGTCACCACGGCAATTTTTCTTTCAAGATGGTCAAACAAGTGGAAATTTATTGGAAGATTATGTCGAGCTTGAAGATGCTGATTTGTTGGCAAATGTCAAACAGCATATGAATTATTCTTTTGGAGCAGCTTTTGAATCTGGATCGGCAGTAGTACTTTCGTCGTTTGGGGGTCTTGTGGGTAAACTTGATGAAACGAAAATGAAAACCAGTACACGTATTATCGAAAATGTGATTAGTCAAATGGCTGGATCATCAGAACCATTTCTAGCTGGTGGATTCTGGTGGACATTAAATCCTGATACAACATGGCCGTATCCTGCTCCTGATAATTCCAACTCGACAAAACAAGGATTACTGGATGAAACGTGGCGTACGGTGAACATGGAGGTATTGAAAACATTGGCTGACATGAACACAACGATGAAAAGTGTCAAGTTCATTCCATGCTTGAAGTAACAAGATGGTTTGCATCTAATCGTCTACATTTTCAACCTTCATTTGCTGTCTAGCTTTTCACTACTTTAGTCTCGATACAGAGTAAGAAAGACACTTGTCATTTCTTACCTTTTTTTTCTTTCTTAAACAATATACTCTGCCTTGATGCTCAGTAAAATGACTGATTCTTTACCTGCCATTACTTTCGCATCTTACGACTATTACGTTTGCCTGTAGTGACCGTTTTGTCAGATGTCGAAGAGAAAGTTGAACCAAATGCACTCGTAGGGGCTGAGACACCTACTGTCAGTGGTGTACCAATAGCACTCGATGTACTTGGCAAATTAAACGACACAGTCTTCGCTGGTGCATCTGTCCCGAAATTTAATCCACTTGTTGGAGCACATGACGTCGTTGTAGTACCAAAACCAAATCCTCCTGGAGCTGTAGGTGGCGGTTGTGAAGTCACAATCGTGGGAGCGACAGTCGTACGGAATCGAAACGTGTCAATCGCCTTTTGTTTCTCAGCTTCACTGCTCTTTTTACGTTTATCAAATGGATTTTGAAACGCAGCCAAATTCTTTTCACCATGTCGAGCGAATTCATCACGTATCTTTGTCAAAAAGATTTGACGTAATTCTTCAGCTTTGTCATGAACTTCCGCCACATGAGCCGCAGCATGCATAAGTGCTGTATTTTGTGCAAGTAAAATCTGCTGCAATTGATTCGGTGCAATAGCCTTCTGTTCGTTGTTTATAGGCTTGAATTGTGCTTCTAACTCTTCAATTTGTGCCTTAATTCTCGCCATCTTGTGTTCATAGTGATCCACTAAATCCCAATAATACGGCGATGGCATTTCAATCTGACGCATCACATGGTACATATTCGATGGTCCACTGGCACTATTCTCCAAACTACGACGAGTTAAAGTAGCAGTATCCACTTGATGTAATAAATGGCGAACATCTTGACGTACATGTTGAACTGCAGCTATCTGACGATTTTGTTCATTACGTCTTGCTAAAACTTCTTGTTCTAATCGTGCAATATTTTGTCGCAAAAGTTCTAATTGTCGAGATGATACAGTCTTGAGAAATGTATCTGAGTGGTCTTGTTCTTTTAAAAACGCGTAAAATTGTGTCATATTCTTCTTGACATCATCAGGTAAAGCTTCAAAGACTGTTTCTAATGTAATCGGAGGACCACTACAGAAAAAAATGAGTATTTGAATCTGAAATCACATACTTTATTATGTTAAATTCACTTACACTGTAGAAGTTGTTGTCGCACCAAAGTTACATCCTGTTGATGGAGTGGATTGACCAAAGAAACTAGAAGTTGAGACTGGAGCAGAGGAGACACCAAAGGGAAAAGTTGTCGATGGTGTTGATGTTGGAATTGTACCGAAATTCAATCCACTTGATGTGGTTGGAGCAGATGGAGTAGCAGAAAAATTAAAGGTACTAGGAGTAGACGAAGTATTCGTAAAAGAAAACCCAGGGGAAGCCGCAGGTGTCGAACCAAAGGTGAATCCTAAGTATAAAGAATGAATTAGTATGATTTTTAAAGACAGAGAAGGGAAGAAACGTCACGTACCCGAGGAAGGGGCGGATGTCGTTGAGCTAAATGAGAAGGCCATTGGGTGCGGAATGGTAAGAAATTGCGAAATTTGGAAATTTATATAAATTTAATTTTTGGATATTTTGAAGTGTGGAAAAGATGAGATATGATCGTTGAAGTACCATATTTTGGTTTGCGTAAGCCATATCAAACCATACTTTGTTATAAATCACAGTTAAGTATCATTTTATGAATTAATTGCGCGTTGTATTTACATGTTTTAGGATTTTGAAGCAAATTAGGACCATATTTTGAGTCAAACCATATCATCGTACCATAAGTTAACAAGATTGATCATTGAAGTACCATATTTTGGTTTAGCGTAAGCAATATCAAACCATACTTTGTTATAAATCACACTTAAGTATCATTTTCTGAATTAATCGCAGCTGATATTTACATGTTTTGGTATTTTTATGCAAATTCGTACCATATTTTTAGTCAAACCATATCATCGTATCATATTTTAACAAGATTGAGCATTAAAGTACCATATTTTGGTTTAGCGTAAGCAATATCAAACCATACTTTGCTACAAAACACAGCTTAGTATCATTTTCTGAATTAATTACAGCTGATATTTACATGTTTTGGTATTTTTATGCAATTTCGTACCATATTTTGAGTCAAACCATATCATCGTACCATATTTTAACAAGATTAATCATTAAAGTACCATATTTTGGTTTGCGTAAGCAATATCAAACCATACTTTGTTATAAATCACAGTTAAGTATCATTTTCTGAATTAATCGCAGCTGATATTTACATGGTTTGGTAATATATGCAAATTCGTACCATATTTTTAGTCAAACCATATCATCGTACCATATTTTAACAAGATTGAGCATTGAAGTACCATAATTTGGTTTGCGTAAGCAATATCAAACCATACTTTGTTACAAATCACGGTTAAGTATCATTTTCTGATTCATTTGCGTCTTGTGTTTACATGTTTTGGTATTTTTATGCAATTTCATACCACATTTTTATTCAAACCATATCATGGTACCATATTTTAACATGATTGGAGAATGTATATGTAATGGGACTACCGTGCACTTTGCACAAGAAAATTTGAACCCTCAAAATTCACACACAAAGATTGGGTTTGTACGTGAACCACAAGGAGCAGAATTGAGAGCGTCTCGAGTAACGACCACTGCTGCTATTACAGAGGTACATGCATTTAAACTTCTACTTTGATAAGATTGATACTTAATACATAAATTTAACAAATTCTGTTGATTTGATTGAGAAATTTAAAGCAAACGTTATTCGAGTCCTAACGTTGCCATATCTCCAGAAAATTACTCATGAATAATGATGCACGCTCTGGTCTGTAAACTATTAGAAAGGATGAGGAAGCCGAGGTAATGGCTGGGTAACCACAATGAATCTTTAAACACCGTGTAAATCAACTCTTTTCCTTTGAGAGAGCAACAAGCATTATTGACGAGTAGATGACGCCGTTCGATACGGCTGAAAAACGATACTGCACCTATTTTTCCTTATTACATTCTGAGCTTTACATTTCTTTTGTAAAAAAAACTCAGATTAGCATAATGCTTAAGGTGTGGTGGTTTCACTTTAGGGTCCGAATCCTTGGCATTGGCTTAGTCTTGTTACATGCTGACCCGCGTATAAACGCACGCATCATCTTTCTGAGTGCCTTCATCAGCATATCTACGAGCTGGCGCATTTTATCGATGTAGTCGATATTCAAAATTTTCTATTACACGTTTTTGCGGATGAAGTGATGCCTAATGTCCACGTGCTTTGTCCGAGCATGAAATTTAGCGTTGTTGGCCAAAGCAATCGCTCCTTAGCTCTTATCCAGATTTTCATGCCTTCCACTTGTTCGTGAGACAAGTCCCTAAGCCTCGCATGCATCCAGGTAACTTCTTAAGTAAGAAGCTGGGAGCCTTATTGCAGCGGGGTTGCCGTAGCTTTGCCCGGAAACGTAAGTTAGGTCACCGACCTTTCGTTCAATACTTAGAACAAATACGAGTTTAGCGGATCGCAATCCACTTACTCCAAAAGTAAAAATTGCCTTAACCCAAGGCTAATTAACTCTTCGAAATAATATCAAAACTGACTTTATTTAATTTTTATCTGCGGCAAAGCCGTCTAGTTTTAAATGGATAGATTTTCCGAAATATATATAGTAAAATCTAAATACAAGCATAACTACTGGCTACCCAGCCACGTACCGTATTCTTATTTAGACGCAGTCACAGCATGCCCATCGCGTGTGACACACACACCTGTTACCAGGGTACGTGTAACCCCGTCACACTCTCTCTCATTAAGACTAAGAACATTTACAGTTCCAATCGATTATTGCCTTAACGAGGCTTACGTGTCTGCTAGACACTGCAACTTGGTACGTTGGAACAAACGACTTTCGTGCTCAATGAACCCTGTGTCAACGACACTGAAGTCACCAAGTCTCGCTGGTTCTGACAGCGCACACGGGCAGAGCCCAACTTCGCCTCCCGCACACAGTGCAATGTCGGACAGTGCGTCCGCAGCATCGAGGGATGCACATCCTAGGCTCGATGAGCACGAGCGTCGCGCTCCGCGCACGCTATCAGTGACGAGTGACCTCGTTGGGGATGTGGTGATGGTCGACTACGAGTCTGACACTCCTTTTCCCGCGTGGGATGACGAGGAAGGCAAGCCGCACCTGCGGCGTGAGACGAGCCCTGCTCGCGCCTTGCGGACTCCATGTCCGTTTCCTGATTTCTCGTCACCTGAGGGACGTGGTGCAATCACCAATGATATCGACGGGGCACAGATGCGGCAGCTGGAAGCTGCCCGTACGGCGGCTCTGATGCGCGCCCATCTACGGCCGGTCGTTGCTCCTCGTGTGGAATATGGCTTCCGCTCGGCGGATCCCACTGTGGAAGCGAAGAACACGGTAGCTCGACCGTTACGCCTCCACTTCATCGGGCCCTCGGCCATTACTGAAGATGAGCTTGCCGAGCGAAAAGTTCTTCGAGCTCGTTTCTTGATTCCACAAAAATTTCCGCTGAAAGCTTATCGCACTCGTCTGAGTGCTCAACGAGGTGGCTCTCGTGTACCCGCAATGCG